CAGTTGTGTCGACACTTTGGGTTGGGTCCCAAGTCTGTTTGTCTTTCATGATTGGTGGGCTAAGTCTTCAGGAAAAACTGCCATGTGGTGTCCTATCTCCATCAACAGATGATCATTGGCTGAGTCAGGCTGTTTAATTTTCACCCAGAAGTCTCAACATGGCAGAGGTGGGTCTTAGAGATGAGAAGGGTCTGTTGGACACACAGAGCAACCCACATTCCTGCACTGCACCCCTGCTCAGTCCCCTTTTTGCCTGTGATGAATACTGCTGCTGTGAACTTTGACATTGTGGTCTCTGTGTGTCTGTTTTTATTTATCTCGAATATGTAGGAGTCAGATTGCTGTTTCATAGAACAAACTTCACTTTTATAAAGAAATTGTCAACTGTCTAGTAATGTTACTGCACCACTCTACATTCCTACTTGCAGATTATGAGGTTGCCACTTTCTCCACATTCTTAACATTTGTTAGTGCATTTCCATATAAAACTACTTTCGGATGTGTATCCTGTATCACTGGAACTTTAATTTGCATTTCCTTAACAAAGTATGGTGTCGACTTTTTTTTTAAGTTTAATCAGTTATTTGTGTATTTTTTTTTAAGTTTGTATGTGTGTGTGTGTGTGTGTGTGTGTACAAGAACTAGGGTGTAGACCAGAGATGGGGATGAGAGGGTTCACCAGAGACACAATGGGGAGAACAACAGGCGAACCTACTTTACATACTGCTGAGGGGAACAGCAAGAAGATAGGAGAGGTCTGCTGTGCCAGTTGGGTCAGCTCCCTGGCCAGGGATCGAACTCGTGCTCAAGTGGCAATAGGTAGCTTCATAGTGCTGAGACTTAAACCCAGTACCACTGAGAAGCCCAATTTGTGTATCTTTTAAAATAATCATTACTCATAACCAGGGTATTTGTTGTTCACTAAACTTCAAATAAGAAAAGAGAGAGGGGAAATGTCAGAGTATTTTGTGACTGAAACTTGGACAGCCTCAAAATAAGAAAAATAAAGTTGTTAGAGATTGGAGCAAGCCTCAGAAATAAGAAAAATAAAGTTATTAGAGATCGGAGCAAGCAGTTTCAGCTGAACACCACCCACATGAGCAAAAAATAGAAAATATTTTGTTTCTACCTTTTTCCTTTCATTTTTAGAAAGGCAGATTCTCAGAGAGATTAAACCCTGGTTGTATCTTATAAAGCTGCACATACTAGCTTTGCTTCCAGTTACAAGAACTGACAAAACCACTGACCTGATGCTCCATGAAGATGCACAGGAGAGCAGAGGTCAGCTAGGTTTTTATAGGGGCACTGGGAGAAAAGTAGGGTGAGTACTGATAACAGAATCAGGGGCAATCTTCTTTCAAGGTTCTTATAGGAATATACATTCAACATTTGGGAAGTTTTGCAAGAGTAGTTGCACTACCAGAATGGGGTTCAATTCCTTGAAGTTAATAAAAAAGGAAGATAGAGATTTCCTTCAAAGCAGGATATAATACGATATAATACAGGTTGTCAAGATGGGGTTGACTCATAGGGAGCACTGGAAGAATAAGATGATACAGAGATGGTGAGTTTTGGATTAAAACTTCTTAGCATGAAATTTTTCCAAAGTTTCAATTTCTGTTTCCTTTCTGTTCCTGCTTCAATTCATATTTTCTCTTTTACATTTTATTGTTAGCCGTTAGGAGGAATCAAGCTGCTCATGTAGCCCTGCTTTGAAATCTCATCAGTTAAGTACAGCAATTCTTCTTTTAACATAATTTATAGAAACTTGGAAATGGCCTTTTTAAGAGAAACAACATATAATGAGGCTAATTTTACCACAGGCTAATTGATAGAAACAAGAATTAAGTGCCTGTGGCATTTTTTTCTGGTCAGAAAAACATCCCCATTCTTCTAAATAAAAACCCAAAGCTCTTCTAACATTAAACAATAAATTGGAGTCAGCCATTCACTCATTCTCCTGCCTGCTCATTCTGTTGATTGTTTAGGGAGCCTGTCTGGTAGCTTAGAGCACAGGGGGACGATCCCTGGACAGGTAACCATTCCATGCAGGCCATTCCTGCACTTAATTGAATTGGGACAACTTTGAATGCCAGTTAACCTAACACGTACACTTGCGGGATGTGGGAAGAGCCCAGAGAAAAGCCACACAGGTGTGGGGAGAACGTAACTCCACATAGACAGCGGTCCTGACCAGATTTCATTTTTTTCCCCTTCATCATTCTTCTTGATCAAAATGCCATTTTTGGAGGACTTGCTGTATCCACCATCAACCCTCCCCAGTTTTCCATCTGTCAGAACACTAGGATACAGTTCAAATTCTTTCCTACATTATAACAAGAATCACCCATACCCAGTTTCCAATCACACAGTCCTCATTTCTGAGATCTCTCCAGAATCTCCCAGAATGTCCTTTTTTTTTTAGCAGGTACCTCAAAACTTCCAGCCTTTACCCATTACCCATTTCTAAGGTCACTTTGGTACTTATTATAGCCACATCCTCCTCCTTAATACTAAAATTTGGGTTAGTCTGTTTGAGCTGTAACAAGATACCATGGGCCTGTGTGATTTAAACCACAGTCATTTATTTTTCTTTGGAGGCTGTGAAGGCCAGTGTCAAAGGTACCAGCAAAGTAGGTTCCATTCTGAGATCTCTTCTCTTGACTAGTAGGAATTCCATAACTGCATAATCAGTTGACCTCTTCTTTGTGTGTGCATGGAGAGAGTTTGAGATGGGTGGAGGGAGGGAGGCAAAAACTGGAGCACAATCTCGGGTCTCTTTCAAGGGCTCTAATTCCATCATGAAGGTCTTACTTTCATGACCTTACCTAACCCAAATAGCCTCTCAGTATTTCCATCTCCAGATTCCATCACTGTGGGGATTAGGGCTTCGATATTTGCATGTTGGGAGGAAACATGCATTCAATCCACAGTACCTATTTCATGAGGTTATTGAATAATCAATAGCTAGTATTTATATATGTGTGTGTGTGTGTACTTATATATATATATGTGTATATACACATACTAATACTTATATTTTAATTTTAGATTCTATTATACACACACGATCTGAGCTAACTCTTTTTCTTTATACTTTTCTTAAGTATCACCCCATCATTAAAGTCAAGCTCAGCTTTCTTCACCTTTAGGAAGTTTTTCCTGATTGCCTTCAGCCTTGATATTTCTCTCTGATAAGATTTTTTAATAACATTAATTGCCTGTACCACTCTGTCTTAACCTGTTCTTTTATGCTGCTGTTGTTACACTTTTATGACTTAACAGGAATAAATTATAAGCACTTCATGACCATAGGCCATGACTCTTATCTCTTTCATCTCCTGCGTTTAGAGATAATTCACAATCAGTGCCTAATTGTTGGTAAGGGTGATTAAATGTGAACATTAGGAAAATTCAGATCAAAGTAACAACTTAATTTGTAAAAATAAAAAAAAATTACCAACCTATCTGAATTTAGGGTAAGTTTATAGAGGCTTATAGAAAAAACAGTGTTTTCATATAGTGATATTTTTAGTATTGCACGAGCTGCCAGAAAGTATTATATTAATTTTCAAAGCGACATATTTAGAGAATTAGACTTCGTATAGGTTGTTGCCACCCTGTCATTCCTTCTGTTCCCTGTGGCTGGGCTGCCCTGTAGACTCCAAAAGAGGGATTGGGTTGGGATTTATTTTTAATTTTGAAAAGCATTTGAATTAAGTTAAATATTACATAAATGAAGTTGATGTTTTATGATAGAAGTGAATGTTTTAATAATTCTCTATAATGGTTCAGGATCTTTGGAAAATAAACAACAACAATGCTGTATTATAAAAGAAAACAAATGCATTTATTGAACAGACTACCCTACTCTATACATTAAGTCAGGTTTTTGGACAACATGGTTTAGAAAGGTAAAATGTTAGGGTGCTCTTGACCAGGAGGTATGAGTAAGGAAGTAGAATTGCAAATTATGTTTCTGATTTGCTTAATTGTCAATAGATCTGTGATTATAAAACTTAAAAAATTGATTCTTGAAAGTTAATTCCGTGAAGTAGTGAGTAAAACCCAAAGGCTACATCTACAATGTAGAGGGCATTACTTAGGGCCAGATTTCGCATCGTTTTAAAGTCCACTATGTGACAGATACTGTTGGTGGGGACTTTCACAAATTGTACAAAGTAATCATCATTATGGCTTTCTGAGGTAAGGTAAGCATTATCTTCTTGGAATGAGGAATGAAACACAAAGTCATTATATAACTTGGCTAAATCAATATATCTGATAAAAGATGGAATCAGAAATCCAACCCATACTTGTTTAACTTAGAATTCAATCATAATGATATTCATGATGGTGTTAGTCATAATTAACACTGATTGCTTTTCATAATATGTGATGTAATAATTAAAACATGCTATGAAAGAGACCCACCAGATAGGCAAGGAATCTCAGGAGGAATCTGAGATTATGTCCTCGGCACCCAAGGACATAATTGGCACCTGAGGGGTATGCAGATCTGTGTAGTAAGGTCTCCATGTGACAGTGTGCTAATGCTAACCACCACTGCTCCTGTTGCTGACACACTTGTGTTATTCCAGTGTGGACTCTGTGAATAGGGCCACATGTAGTATGACAGTATCTATCCCATTTGTACATTCAAATTTGACTTGAGCAAAAACTAATTTATCAATTATTAAAATTATTTTATATAGGCGCATTGGCTCATCAACTAAAAATCATTGCAGATTATATCCCATTATCTCCTACTACAGTGAGACTAGTATTTGTGAAATCACTTAATTAATGATGAACTGATTCACGTTTGAACTTGTTACTTATCTTTGCTGATAAACCATTGTGGAAGGATTGTAAGATATTTTTGAAAACTGCCGATAAATTGTAATCATAGAATGATAGCAGATATAAAGATGATGTTAAATTTGCTTCATTTTGTTTGAAGTATTTATGCTTTATTTCTTTTGTCCATTCTTTTACAGATCATCCTCATCTTGGCTGCTGCCGGACCAAGGATTACAAAGTATGTAGCATGAATTACAAAATGATAATTGTCCTGTCTTTCAAATAGGAACATCAGCACAAATCCTGTTATTGTGATCAGACAAAGATTCTCATATTCCTTCAGTCAAGAAAATGCACAGTTGTCTTATTGTGGAGTGTCATTATTTTAGCTATTTAGTCAAGGTAGAATAGGCTTTTCATTGAATATCTTCCTTGCAAGTATTTTGTGGATTTTGCTTGTTCATTTGGATTAGTAACATATTGAATGTGGGGGGGGGGAGGGGTTAGAGGTGACAGGAAAGAGAGAAACTAGTGATTACTTTCAGTAATGCCTCCACAGTAGTATTTCTTACCTTCAGTTATTCAAAGCAATTTCTGTAATATCTGCAATTTATGGTATTTTCTTTAAATTCATCTTGTTTTTATTTGTCTCATGATTATAAACAAGAATCAGGATTACATGTGGTAAATGGATGATAATTTTTAAAAATACAGTGAAAACAAAAAAAATGACCAGATTTTGGTTAGAAAACTTGTTTTCCAAAGGCTCTAAATCTTGCTCTTTTTTTTTTCTCAAAATGAGTTGAGCAATGGCAGAGAGGTGTGTGAGACATAACAGTACCTAAATGAAGATCTCTGATTGAAAGCTGAAAAGATAATATATTTTTTCCTTTGTGATTCAGTGTTATGGTATATCCACATGTCATGTAAAATAAGCTTGTGTATCATCTGAAAGTCATAAAGTCATCTGGAGTATCATATTGAATTATCAGCTTTAGCAATGATAGTTCATGTCCTACCTTTTGAGAAGTACTGTCTCAAAGTTGTCTTTTCTGTCCCTAGTAAAACATCTTCATAAGAAATGTCATTATAATTAAGACAATAAAACAGGAAACATAGCTTTCTTTATACCTTTTTCTTGTTTATTTAACAATGTATTCCATGCTTCCTGACATGGAATGGTACAGGATCATGCAGGTGGGACATTATAAACATTCATTCCAGGTCTACTAAATTGATATTGTTAACACCAGTCTGGAAATTTTAAATCTTAATTTTTATTTAATTTTATCATTGTTTATTGATATAATGTTGGTTTACAACACTGTCTTTGTCTTGGGGGCATAAATTCATACTTTTCAGTGCTATCATTCCATAACCCTCACCAAAGCCCTAACAAAACAACCCACCATCATAGTCCACTTTTCCAGATGATTCTTTTTTTTTTTTAAAGATTTATTTATTTGTGCATACAGAGCTGGGGTACAGACCAGAGGTGCAGGGGTGGTGAGAGGCTTCACCAGAGACAGAGTGGGGAGCAGAACAGGCAGATTGCCGAAGTACACTGCTGAGGGGAGCAGCGGGCGGGTCGCGAGAGGTCTGCTGCACCATGTGGGTCACCTCCGGGGCAGGGATCGAACTCACGTGCAAGTGACTTTAGCTTCTTAGTACTGTGCTTTAACCCACTGTACCACCAGGAAGGGCCATAGCTTTCTTTTGACCTATCCAGAGATCAGCATTTGAGGCCTACCAATCTAGATTGTGGAAATAGCACTTGTATTGATAAAATTCTCCATGATACAATGTTTATATGGGGTTATATCTGGTGCCTACCACCCTGTATATGAAAATTTCCCAAACACGCTGATGTTCTACACATTGATGACATATACAGGTCTGTAGAGGTGCACGCACATAACAAAAATCATAATGTTCAGTGTCTTCGTGAAACCCAGGGGAGTTGTCTTAGTTGTTCTAATGAAATGAGAAGTCTATGTTCACACATTCCCTTCCAGTCATACTTGACAATTTATATTTATCTATTAATTAAAATTTTTTAAAGTTGATTTGCCATTGGTTTATAAAGCTATATAAGTTACAGGATAGAGCACCACACCTTGACAAATATGTGTCCTTCACCACAACTACCAACAAAGATCTGTGCCATTTAGCACTATCGTATTGATCCCTTCCATCCATTCCACCTACCTACCCCTCTCTCTCTGGTAGCCACCATTTGGTGGTTGGGATTTATGAGTTATTTTTGTTGTGTTTCATTAACTTGCCTTATTTCTTTATAACCTACATGATTGAAACCATTTGGTAATTGTCTTTTACTTTCTGATTTGGCTTAACACAAGTCAACTTTATTTATTTTCATCTTTTCTTAAAGTCTGCCTTATTAATATGCAAGTTCTAGAATGGCTTGCCTTAATTGCCTTCTTAATCTTGCTTATTGATAATTGCTAGTGTCTAGCATATTGTCTGATATATGGTCATTGCGTAGCTTCCTAATATACATGCTTATTTTGTGAGTGGGTTATGAAGGGAAAACAAGTTAAGCCTAATATGTAAAAATACAGAATTCCTCTCTTTAGAGGGATAAAGTTTATAGGACATTAGTCTTTGTCCTAAGGTAATTATAATCCAATACCACATGACTGGTGCATTGAAGATAGGTGTATGTATTTAAAAATCCCCTTTCCCACCACCCATTGAGTTCTTTTGAGAGAGCTGCTCTTTCCCCATATTCAGTTACCTCCTCCACTTACCTTTAGATTCTTTGCTTTTTTTTTTTGGCAATAAAAACACTTTTATTAGAAGACCAATAATAAGACCATACATGCATTTGGTCTAAAGAAGAAAATAATTGAGACATAAAATAAAAATACTAGAATAAGAGTAACAAAATAGAATCTATAGTAAGATATTAAAAGTATAATAAATATTACTAATAAATTGATAACAGTAAATTCAACAACTTAGAGAAAATGAAAACTCCCTTGAAAGATACAAACTAAAAGCTTGCAAAACCAAACCAAAGTTTATTTAAGAAGAAATATACTCTAAACAGACAAGTGACTTAAAAACATTAAATTTATTAAAAACATTAAACATAACTGCTCAATAATATCTCCTTGGACTAGAAATAGATTCTTTGCTTTTAGGAGAGGGAATGGAAGAGATAGGTTAGGGCCTCATCTGTATAACCTCATAAACCTTAAATTCTTTGACTCCATATACAAATTTGGTGTTGAAGCTTCAGTCATGAACTTGGTGTGGAGAAACAAATTAGTCCATAGCAGGAGCTTTTGGACTGAAGATTGCAAATCCCAAATGCTATTTGTGATGAGTATGTGGACAAGTGAATGAGTGTAGAGCTAATAATAGAGTGGTCTGGGAAAGAAGTGTGAAGACCATTCTGCCTGGGCCTTTACAGAACATGTTCTGTGTAGCTTCCAAGTGGCCTTCAATGCTACTTCATGATCATTTCGATCCCTTGTCGATTCTCTAAAATAGCCCAAACTCTCTAAGTTCTACTTCCCATCATTTCCTATATATGATTCTCATTCTTCTTTGTAAAGGAAAATGTTGGTCTTTTCTTTGGATGTAATTCTTCTCAATTGTCTTCATCTCTACTTCAGTCTTTTTCACTGTTTCTTTCCACTTTTACCTTCCTAATAATAATAATAATAAAATAATAATAATAATAATAATAATAATAATAAATTGGCATTTCTGATTTCTTTAGTTTTCATTCTATCTCTTTGGCCACAAACATGAAATAAAATCAACTTATATTTGTATACTAGATTCCAATTTTAAAGTTTTTTATATTGATTACTGTATTATGGATAGTCTTACAAATTAAAACAGGATTTTGAATCTCCATCTTAAATAACAGAAATGGATTTTTCAGAGCTCTCTGAAAAAAAAACAAAACAAAACATGCATTTCAGTCTGCATTCCTGTGTCTCTACGATCTGCTTTTTCTTCTCCTTTCAGTGTTAGACATTTCAATCAACTATACTTCCACTTCTTTATCAGTTACTCCTGAAATATTTGAGAAAGACATTTTGTGAGAACTTTTAAACTGAGGAGTTCTTCTATCTTTTAAAAGATGATAGAAAAATCGTCTTAGAATGAGAAACAAAACTGATTTTAGGCAAATTTAGGAAATATACATGAAATATATGGTTGATTTCTTATAGCTTTACATCACCTTTGCATTCCTCACATATTAGCGTTGCCTCAGTATACTACTTACTCAGTGTCCCAGATTAGGACTTCATAGATCTTTCCAGACTTATGAAGGTTAGTATAATGTCTGATTCATTCCAGTATCACTGGCTATGAAGTCATGGTATCTTGTGGAAAGTTACATGTTGTTTGAAAGCTTGAATGCATATCACATCAAATTCGGTGTTCTGCTTAGATTTCTCTGTTGTCTATATTAGTGCCTCCTACTACTCTTAAACTCACTCTGTTCCCATTATGTTATCACTATCCTCATTCAACTCATGCTTATATTTCCACCTCTCTATTCTAACTCATCCACTTTCTTAGAGGAAGCTAGATGTTCTAACACACTCTAGAACTTCAATATCTTAACAGAATAGAGGTTTAATTCTAGCCCAGTGGATCTTTGAATTCATGCCTGCTTCTTAAAAGCCAAACTGACCTAACTCCTATATATTCCATTGACAAGAACTAGTCATATGACCAAGGAGAAGAGGATGATTAGCAAATGGAGATTCTGGTTAGCAACTGTGTTCCATGAATTCTATCTATAGAGCAGGGTCACAAATTTTAGTGGACAATTAACGATACCTAATGCAGTCTTCTCATTTGGCCACCAGATATCTCCTCAGACCATTTCCCCCCACAATGAAGGTAGACCACTCAAAGTCCTATGCATTAGAGGATATTTAGCTAAACTTGAAGTTCAGGAGCCCATCCTACCCAGATGAAACTCTGTATGATCTACTCACCTGTGAACTAAGGCAGTTATCTCTCCTGCTTCCCACTCCTGCTCTACATGAACCCCATTTCTAGCATATCAGTTCGTGCAAGAACAGGATGACCGGGGGGAAACTTTGGAAAAGAGAAACAGAACAACACACTTCCCTCAAAAATAACGTAGGCTCCTCTTTTATTCACTTCCAGGGAGTTCAATATGTCCGTAAATACATAGTTTTTTCAAAGGCATAATTCCAAAATTTTATTTCTTTAGTTCTT